AGCTGATGATAGGAGGTTCCATCTCCTAACTTGTCCATGTAAGTGTCCATTTGTTTTCATTGTCACCTGAAAGTGAAACAATCTTTTTACATTCTAAATTTTTGCCTTGCTAAATTACAGTTCCCTTATAGAGAACAGCTTAATTTGTAGTCGGTTTGGTGCATAATTTGATCTTTTCCTAAGTTATTGTGTGGGTGACAATGCCATGTTTTCTATGCTGGTACTCTTCTTTGTCTTGAAATGAAGACCTCCATAGACCCCCCCCGATCTCTTTTCAGGCTTCCTCTACTGTTAATTTAAAATACATTGTTCACCTAACATGTAAGTTGAGATTGGCTCAAGGAATTTTGTAAAATGTGTACAAGCCCTTAAGCTGACGAGAAATATGTGAAAAACATTACTTCTGTGATTTGCAAATATATGAAACCTCTAAACCTGTAATGTACTTTGCTATTTACTTTAGAAACCAGTTTCTTGGGTTTAAAAGCTCCAGAAATGAGTCCTGTTTTTAATAGCACATTCCCCCTTCTAAAATGACTCGACTATTTGTAGCAATTTGCTGAAATATGTGGCGATTGGCTCTCTGTGGCATAAGCTACTGTCAGGGCTGGATCTGTAGAAAGGCCACATAGACCTAGGTCAGTAGTGTAGGCAGGGTACGCAAACCTCTAACTGCTTCGTTCAAATGCCAATATTTGGTTGCAGTTGCACAGAGCATACTGGGCTATGTGTTACTATAGCATAAGACGCTGAATGGACCCAAAGCAATTGCTACTCTCACAGATTTTAATAGAGCAGTAAAGCTTATTGTCCATATCTAGAAGTAAACCTGTCATGATATGAGTACATGGAAAGTTATTGCTGACCACCTTTTAAGTGTTTTTAAATAGAATTAATATAAACTCTTGCCGCATGCTAAGTTTCTGACATCAGCCACTGTGCCGGAGCTCTGAAAAGCTTGTAATGCCAAACAGTTTATATACTTTCTAGAATCTGATGTTTATACATTTGTCCTCAGTGAATGCCAGATATAGCTCCATTATACAGAGTTTTTGGAATAAGTCCGCTATTTATAGCCCAAATGTAAACGGGCTATTTTGGTCCACCAGGTCATTTTCCAGTTTGAGCACGTATGGGGCTTTCTTTAGACATGAATTGTTCAAGTTTTTAAACAGCCTAGTCACAATATAGTCTGATTGTTAATTATGTGCTTGTCCTAATTGCTGATGTGTCCTGCATGCTTTTCCAGGGCCACTGGGAATAATGAAAGCTGTGACATGTTTAAAATAGAACACCCTGGGTGTGCCTATCATCCATTGTGTTGGGGAGACGTGCAGACATTTTGGACTTGATAGCATCAGGCAACTGAAACTTTCTTTGTGTCGATGTCCCGAAAGCTAGCAATTAAGGGATATGCAAGAAATAGCTTATTGTGTCAAGACGGCACTAGTGGACTGCATGCCAATTTCGTGGTGAACCATTAGTAAGCGGGAGAAATCTTCTCTTGGAAAACTGTACAGGTGAACTTAGATGGGCAGTCATGTAAAGCAGCATTGACCAGAGACTTGCTTTAGGGAAGGGTCATGTTCATGCGAAGGAAACCTGAACTAAAATACTGGAGTTCTGTGCTGTGACCACCTGAAAATTGTGACTTTGGTTTCAGCTGACCCAAAACATATATGCGGCAAGTAAGATCATCTATGATTCTTGATCCTTGAAGGCAATTCTACCACAGTCACAATCAACATACTGCTTTATATTTGGCAGATTCACATTGATTTTGAACAAGTTTCAACCATAGCCATTTAGGGTTCGGATTTGACCCCTTATGAGATCGTCCAACCCCTGTTTCTGGCTTCCAGACTAGAAAAAAACCTGGGTGGATCTCTTCCATGAAAATACACTCAGCACATGTCATAGTGTCAGATATTGAGGTATTGCAGTGTTTGCGTCAAAGTAATTTGATGTGATTTTAAAGAATAGGTATGGTTTCATTAAATGTCCCCTTAAAGCAGTTCTTCACTCTAGAATAACACTAAGGGCTCGTTCACACTAGGCTGTTTTGCCAACGCTTGCCAAACGCCCCTATAGCGTTTGGCAAGCGTTGGTCCGGTGTTTGCGGAGCGTTTTTAACGCTCGGCAAACGCTCCGCAAACGCCGCATGCGCGGTTTAGCGGCGGTTGCTAGGCGTTTTCGGAGCGTTAATAACGCCCCACAAACGCCTATAATGCAGTTTGAGTGGTGTTACCGCTCCGCAAACGCCCCGCAACCGCGTCGCATCCGCACCGCAAATGCCGGCCGGGCGTTTGCGGAGCGGCACCATAGACGAGAATAGGAGGCTTCAAAGCCTCCTGACTCCAGAGGCGTCCGTTTTGCCGCGACGCAAACGCGCTCCCGTTAGAACAGCACCATGTGCTGTAATGTGCAGAATTGGCAGAGGCGTTTGGGAAGCGGTAAAAACGCTTCCCAAACGCCTCTCTGCCGCCTGCACACAAGGCTAGTGTGAACGTAGCCTAAAGGTTTGAAGTGGCTGACTTTTACTAGAAGGACACTTACCTGTCCAGGGTTCCAGCACCATCCTCACCCGGGCTAGTTCTTCACTAGTCTTCAGGTTTCTCGCTCCAGCATCTTTAGTGTGGGAAGCAGACGGGGACATCTTGCGGCTTCACAGCTGGCTTTCTACTGCACATGCTCAAGCTGAGCTGTGCTTTTTAATGGTCCTGCAGCCTTCTGAGACCTGTGACATGTCCCAAAAACCAGCGTGTGAAGAAAGGGGGGCCCAAACTTCTGCTCGGATTGCCTAGGTAAATCAAGCGCAAAAGGGTGTAGAGTACCGATTTAAACTAGGTCCCCCCCCCCACAGCCCTGTCCCGGAGGACTCTAAGCAGAACTTCCTCTTTTGGGTGACCTTCCACTTTAACCAACCCTACCTAGCCCCTTGACCAAAAGTACTACTTTAAGTTCCTGATGGTTATTTACATGAGTAGGACAAGACCCAGCTTTCAATATTTCCATCTAAAATCTTCCTCACTGCTGGCTGTGGCTGCAGTGAGCCATCATGGAATTGTATAGGCCTGTCTTTGGGCAATGGAAACTCTCAGAAGATGGCCCTGTGCAAAGCATAGGGCTCTCACACTGCTGGTGTGGCCAGTGGCAAGCAGTATTTGGCTGGAGGATGCAAACATTGGAACTGGCTGTTATTACCTTAACAAGCTTTACCTTAAGCTTTTTTGAGATTGATGGACTGACTGCAGAATTTTTGTAACGTTTGGAGTATAGGAGCCAGGGTAGACCACAATTTTGAATGCCATATTTTGTAGTAGTGAGCAGACCTCTAAACTTAGGATGTATGGGGTTCATACTTTTAAGTGGCTCTCCACCCTGACACATTTGTTCAGAATAGTGAATGACAAGTCAAATAACATTGGCTCAAAGCTTATCTAAAGCCAAAACAATTCATTTTGGAGAGATATGGAGAGGGTCTCGGATGTTACCGGAGCAATTGTCCCCATTGGAATTTTTTTTTCCCTCTTCCTGTACTGGTGGCAACTTCACATTTTGGAATTATTTTTTCATTCCCCATGATCAGGACAAATGGAGAGTGAATCTCTCTAATGGGGACAGAAGAAAGAACCTGACATTGGATCTAACCCCTCACCGCTCTAGACACAAAAGCAATCCTTTAGGTATACTTTGTTTCTTGGAGACTCCATTTGTGATAGAACCTACCAGCTGCATCAGTTATGAATCTGCTGCAAAGCCCCCTAGTATGGTAGAAGCAAATTGCTTTGAGTTTTTTTACTTTTGTGGGAGGGAGCAGATGTGAAATACTGCATGAAAATCTCACACCTGCAATTTCCAGAGTAAGAAGTTGGCAGGTGATTCTAATACTCCTGACAATCCTGAAATAACTTTACTGATTCTAGAGCCCTTGTGACTTGCCACTCTCTAGACTGCAGTGTTTGTAAAGCCCTCTATACCCATGATTGGTTGCTACCCAAGTTTTTTTTTTTTTTTTTTTTTTTTTTCACAACCCCCCTTGCCCCTCTAACAGTACACTATAGTCTATTGTGCGTATGGTTTTATTTCCTAATACTTTTCACTGACTACTTGTGAGAAGTACCACTTGAGCCTGCTAATGTGCCCCTCGAGTATGTGTACCACAGGATCCTCAGGCAGGGAAACCGGAGTGATCAGCATTGGAAATGGTGTTTCTTTCTATTTTGGCTGTACAGGCTCTTAATGCTTCAATGTGGGCAAATAACTATACTAATGCAGCTCTCCATTCAGTACACATACATTTTTTTAAAAATACTTCTGAATATCTTTACCTGTGCAGCAATCAGGCAGCATGCAAATGAGCTGACAGAGGGATGACCTAGTCCTCTTCTGCTGCTCCTTTTGTCAATTAGACAGGCCAGTGTCAGTGTATTTCCTAACCGTTACAGAAAGCGTTGTCATCCTGGCTGTGCTGTCTCAGGCATATGTAAACCTCTAGACTGGATGGACAAATAGATGTTTAGCAGGTAACACTGCTCTGATGTGTTAATCTGTTTGCCTGGATTTCAGCTTTCAAGTATACAGAACTGAAAGGGCGGGCTGTGATGAGTATGGAATGTTAAAGAATTCTCAGTACGCAGACAGTTTCTTTAAGTCATTCATTCTGCTTGCAGGTTCAGATAATCACTGTCCATACAAGAGGGTATGTTCATAAACATTTACAGAAGCCTAAATCACTTTTTAGCTGTGTAGCTATACATTTTCAAATTCTATTGAACTCTATTAAACTAACTATGAAATATCCCTTACTAAGCTAAATGGAACTTGTGCAGCAAGTATCCACACTTTATTTTATATTTTTATGAGCAGAAACATATATGCTTTATGATTGTTTTGTTTTTATTTTAGTTTGTTGCATATTTAGGACCCAAAAAGACTTGTAGACCCTTTATTTGACGTTTCTTGGTTTATGATTGTCGGCTTTGCGGAATACGGCTGAGATGAAAGGATTTAGCGAAGATGCAAATTACTCCATTGGCCTACTGGATGATACAGCAACTCCAAAAGATGTCATTAAAATTACATTTATGAGCATACTCTGGTGAGTCTCTCCTTTGTATGTCCTGGTATGTTGGTTCTCACTAAACATCCCCAACAATGAGCCAGTTACATTTTAACTTCCTGGTCACATTAAAAACTTAGCATTTTTGTCCCATAGTCATTGCATAAACTTTTATATAGTCAGCATTGCAATAGACCATAGTTATTTTTGCCAATCCAATATGTTTTACTTGAACAATCTCCTTTCATGTTGAGTGCTGCCTGTCTGCTGGCCATCTTTAATTTTTGTTTTCTTGCAATTTCTAAGGACTGCATATCACATGGTACCTTGCTGCTTGCCAGCAGTGATGTCACAAGTGGTATGTATTCCTATGTGGCTTGGTTTTAGTGCCTTGCACTACTTTCCATTAGGCTTCATTAGGGGTTTGTCATTGTGAAGGTCCAGTTTGAGGTGAAGTTTTCAGTGAATGCAGTGACCTTGGTTGTAAATGCTTTAGTCTGGCCTCGTATCACAAAGGAGGCGCTCTACATTTAAATAGAAATGGGGGGTACTGCTTCTGTAGCTGCACTGGATTTGCCGTTCTATACCAAGGACCATCACTTATTTTTCTAATGCAATATTTTTTTCCCTGACAGACCGGAAAGAATGCATTTTTTGTTGCCGACCTTGGGAAAATTGTCAGAAAGCACATCGAATGGCAAAATACCATGGGACGCATCAAATCATTTTATCCACTGAAGTGCAACTCCTCTCCAGCTGTGCTAGAGATACTCTCCGCTCTTGGCGTGGGATTTGTATGTGCCAATAAAGTGAGTACACTGACTAAGAGGACTTCTGTTTTTAGAATAGTAAGACTACAGCCCAGGGGAAAATCAGGGTGTTTGCTATAAAATAAGGGCCCATTGAAAAACAAAATAAAGCAAATTGCTCTAAAATAAGGACCCATTTAAAAAAAAAAAAGCACCAAACACCCTTGTGAAAGGGTGCATCAGATGTACAGACTTACAGCATAGCTTTACGGGTCTGTGTGCCCTGCTTTTATGCACAGGTCCTGCACTAGGGGCCATGTACCCATCCCTGCCTATCTGTCAGATTTGGGTGTGTACGTCTGTGTAGCCAATGCGTATCCATTCACTCAGTGCCTGCATGAAGCAACACAATCTCCAAAAGATAAAAAAAAAAAAAAAAATGGTTATTCACATTGTTCAGGGCTCTGTGTCCATATGAATAATTCCTTTTAATGGTAGGGAAGTTTAGTCCTGGGCCTGACAGGGTGGATAAAAATCAATTATTTTTTTGATTTAAATGGGATTTTTTTGAATAAAATGCTTTTTGAGGAAAATATATTACCATCCAAAGGTTATTCCATCATGAAATAAAGATTAGTTTTTTAATTATGTAGAATAAGGCTGTATATGTTTAATTTTTTTGGTAAATAAATTCCATGAATCCATTCACAATGTCATGCTCTTCCAGAGGTTTCTGTAAGATTATTGGGCAGTTTCTCTGCCTACAAGATATTATCACAGATGCTCGGTTTACTTTTGCAGTTCTCAAAACTGAATTTGACTCGGCGGAGATCACATGCCTCTTCTTCACAGCAAAAATGTTATAACATGAACAGAGTTAAGAAAAAAGACCTCATCCTAACTTCTACAAACCTATGAATACAGAATCAACCCCTTCAGTGCTAAGTTTCAAGAAGTTCAGTGAATAGAATAGAAACAATATTTTTCTGATTGTTTGGAGTGGAATAGATCTGCACAAGAAGAAAGTGAAACTAAGTGTGAGGAGGAAGGGGCTGACAGTCTACGTTTCTTAAAATATATATATTTTGTTTAGCCAAATTAGTTAACAAACATGGATGTTTAAGCAAATAACATATGCTGTAAGGTTATTGTTTCAGTTGAATAAATCTATTTAAATTGTTATTAAGGTAATGATTATTTTTCTCCTTCCTAAGTACAACAGAAAAGTTGTCCAAATATGAATGATTAACCTATTAAACTGGGGATAAAAAAAACTAATATGAAATGTTGTTCTAAAAATCTTCATCTACTTACATATTAAAGTTATACCAGCAAGAATTAGTCTTTATGTAAAAAAGTAGGATTTAAATCAAGCCTTACTGACTAGTGATTTAAATCAGTTTGATTTAAATCAAATCCACCCTGGGGCCTGACACCCTGGATTTCTATGCCTATTTGCATTAATGTGCAGACTGACAACATAGAAGCCTCTGTTGTATTTTGGGAGCAGAGTAGTTCTACTTGTCAGACCTTAAAAGAACTAAGCTATTGACCACACAGGGATTTTGCTGCATGCGCCTGACAGTCAAGAACAATCCTGTAGAGGGGGAATTCACTTAAAACTGCGTCAGATGTGCATAGTAGCCAATCTGCTTCAATCTTCAGCTTGTTCAAGGGACAACTCTGGTTTATTGAAAAAATTCTGTTCACATACATAATCATGAAAATACCTTGTATTGCTCTTAGCCTCACCAAACCTTCAGATTCCTTAGTTTTTGCTGCTGTGGGCTGACATCTGTTAGAGGGTGACTTTGTTCATTCTCCACGGTCACGATGTAAGTAGAACATTACATGGAAGCGGGAAAACCACAGTAAGATGTATGAAAACAGATTAGTGCCATTTAGTAGGTGTGTATATTTTTGTGTAAGGATATATTTTAGTGTCACTTTAAGCTTTGAAAATAAAATAGAAGCTGATTGGTTGCCATTCATAGTTGCTCCAGATTCTGGCTGTTCCACCCGTGCTATGGGTACCCCTCATATGGTACTTCCAGATTTTCTGAAATTTATATAGTGATCAGTTATAGCTGAACTATTACTTGTATTTAGTTGATGGGAAGTTTTCTCAATTACAAAAGGTTAAAAACTGGTTTCCTTTGCAGAATGAAATGACAATGGTGTATGACTTGGGCATCTCTATGGAGAATGTAATTTATACCAGTCCATGCAAGCAGGTTGCAACAGATCAAGCATGCAGCCAAACTGGGAGTAAACATTATGACTTGTGATAATGAATCGGAACTGAAGAAAATTGCACGAAATCATCCTAATGCCAAGTAAGTGTGCTGCTCACGAAATGTTCATCTGATATTTTGTGATGGAAGTGCATGGGTTGTGGGATACAAATCATCTAGGTGTAATTCAGTAGACAAACAGCTTGATTCAGTAGGTTTGCTGTGTCACTCGTTACACATCTGTTTCCTTTTCCTTTTCTGGCATTCCTGCTGTAGGGATAGTGTGAAGTCATCTGGCAATTAAACAATGTATGAGGTGCCAGGGTATCTATTTCTGGTTGCACCTGTTTCCCCTATTCATTCAACAGAGTAGCTGTATGTAGTGAGATGAGAATGTACTCCGTACTCATTGGAGGAAAAAAGCCACTGACAGCTATGACTGAAATGTGTGCCATTGTTTCAACTACGTGTATAGAGCTAAAGCCAACAGGTCGAAAGCGGTTAGATTTGGTCTTTAAAGCTAACCTCTGGACACAAAGTTAAAGATGTCAATAGAAACCTGTATGGTTTTGGTTCCAATGTCCAAGTGCTTGTCCAAGAGCCCTCAGTAAGCCTTTGGTAAGGTCCTATAAGAGAGCTGTACTTCATTCTTGCCTCTCCCACACAGCTTGCATGAGCAGTTTGCTAGCCACCTTATAAACCTGGCTGCTTGTCACTCTTTAAGGGGAAACTAAATGGTGTGGGCAAATTTTATTAAGTTTTCACATGACCATTTATTTCCAGAACACTAAGGGATAGCTGGAGGCTACACAGAGTTGCTTGCTTTGAGGCAGTTTGCCTGAATGAACCATCAAGTGGGCCAATAGAGGGGATGAGTGGATAAGTGTTTAATTGGCTTACTTATCCTTTGAAACATTAAGTGGAGTATAAAACTTCTCCTTTTTAAAGAATGTAGTTATTGTATTAAATGTATGAATGGTATTAATATCCTTATTTATCTGACCCAAAACGTAAAAACCATCACCTGCTTACAGAATATTGGTGTTTTCTTGTCAGCAGGCTGAGGTGGGTCTCTGACCAAACTGTAATTGAGGGGATTGTAGATCTGGTTGTGTGGTTGGGCAGCTGTTTAGCGCACAGTTCTGCTGCACCCCCACTGCTAGACCAGTTGTCACTCATGTGGCAGATTCAAACCACTGTGCTGCGGTGGTGTGCGCTGACAAGTACTGCATGCAGAACATTTTTTTTTTTTTTTTTTCAGCGCAGCATAGTTGGCACTGCCTGCCGATAGAACTTTTTGAAATGTCACTGTGTGAAATTGTAAAGTATAGTCAAAGCCTGGTCCTGATCCACCCAGATGCCTGGACCGGCAACTGGCTCAACCTTTCAGCATGCCGATGAGAGCCTGAGCCAGCTGCTCCCTCCCCCTCCAAAGCCCAGCACACCAGTGAGTGCTGAAAACGAGCCGGTGACTGAGTCACAGCTCAGCCTGTGGGGAGGACAGAGCGATCTTTGATTTTCTTTTCTTTTTTTTTTTTTTTTGTAGTTCCACTTTTAATAAAGTTCATTTAAAAAAGTGAACCATGCGATGTGCCAGAATCGGCACATCAGTATACCTGCACCACAGCGCACACCAGTAGCTGCATTGTAAAGCAGCAGCTGGTGAGAAGGGACCCTCAGGTATTAGTAGCTGGGTAAAATAGCTGAACATCACAAGTCCTTGGAAAGGTAAATCTGTTCAAATGTATTTCATCTTTGTATTTAGGCCTTGGTCTGAAGTTCAGCATTAAACTAATAATGAACAAAAGAAATTCACACTTGCTCTGTAGCAGACTTTTCTTTGGTTGTCTGAAATCTAGCAAAATGTAAGCAATAGGCTGCTAGTTGCCCAATCTTGGGTGGATGGGTTGAGGGCAAAAAGGCAGTGTTGCAGTTGGTTTGGTAATGCAGTTTCTTTGCTTAGTCACTGAGTGGTCTTTAAAAAGTGTGTATTTGGGATGATTTAGAATGTTTAGTGGGTTTAACAATGTTTTTTCCCATTAGCTTTAGCCTACTATCCAAATAAGCCCCGGCATGCTGGAAATAGTTTTTTTTTTTTTTTTCATGACTTGTAGGAGAAAGTGGGACTAACTATTACTGACATTTTATTTACAGCAACCACCTGTGGTTAAATTCTAGAACTAAATATGGCTCGCTATAATTCCGCTATGTCCCACTCGCAGCTCCCAGTTTTGGGCCTAATTGCTAGTTTTCTTTCTATACAGGAATGTTTCTCACTAAGTTCTTGACTCTTCCAAGGATGGCACTCAAGCTGTGACAACATACTTCTACAAAACAACATGTGCTGATGTAAACCAACCTGTGCCCCAATCATCTTCCCCTTCTCTTAGGCTATTGCTACATATTGCAACAGAAGGCATCACCGGTGATGGAGAAATGAACATGGTGTTTGGCAGCACACTGAAGAACTGCAGACACCTCCTGGAATGTGCTAAGGAGTGCGGTGTGCAAGTCATTGGTGTGACGTAAGTTTTTAGCGGAAGCCTAGACTCTCATGTTAAACTATTTAATTCTTCCTTTCCCGTTGCGCCAGCAACCTGTGGAGTATGTCTTAAACTAACATTAAATCTTGTTGCTGGTCCATTTGTAATTCTTTCTCACGTTGGGAGCACCTTGTGTTGCCCTTTTTGTGTCTACTGCTCCAAGCAGACCTTGCATGAACACACAAGGTTCCTTTAATTCACCATGTCCCATAACCCATTTAAGTTGGTGAAGAAAGTGTCGAATACTCTGCTTATCCCCAACTTCTAGATTGCTGGCAAGAAGGTCAAACTTCCAGTGAGATCCTGGGTAATGCTGATTATATCCTGTCTTAGACACTCCAGCACAATGCAAGGAACAAATCTGTCACTCTTTATCTTTAAGTGTTGGGACCTGTTTTTACTTTGTAGAAGTGACTGGGAAGCTGCAAGGCCACCCTGATCATTTTTGCTGAAACCACGTAGTAAGTTTGATGCTATCCATGGGCTCTTTTTAACCTTTTGATTATCAAGGCATAGCATATTGTATTGGCAAAGGGTAAAGATTATAAATTCCCATTGTGACTTTGGATTTATTTGCAGGTTGAGCTTATAGTTTTGCAATCCTTGGTCAGTTCTATACATCTACTACTTTAGCTTGAAACTGCCATTAGTACTGTTAAATGCTGACTTGTTTGCAATCCATGTAAACTGTTAGTTTTTGCCTCTTAAAGTGGTTGTAAAGGCTCAAGGTTTTTTACCTTCATGCATTCTATGCATGAAGGTAAAAAAAAAAAAACCCCCCGTGTGCAGCAGCCCCCTCGTTACCTGAGCCCCATTGTGATCCCGAGATGTCCACGAGAGCCTTGGCTCTCTGAGGACTCTCCTTCCTTGAGACAGCAGCAGGAGCCAATGGCAATGAGGGATGAGAAGGGGATTGAGACAGCAGCAGGAGCCATTGGCAATGAGGGATGAGAAGGGGTGGGTTTGAGCCGCAGGAGCGAGTCTGCTTGAGTGCCCCCATAGCAAGGGGCATTCAGCAGGAGGGAAGGACCAGGAGCCCTGGGGAGGGACCTGAGAAGAGGAGGAATCGGGGCTGCTGTGTGCACAACCACTGCACAAAGCAGGTAAGTGGGGTTTTTTTTTTTTTTTTTTTTTTGTGGCTTTAATATTTTAATGCTAGATTCTGCTGCAGGCTTGGCTAAAAGCCATTCAATAAATCTCCACGAAGAGCTTTTAGAGAGCTTTGTGATGTATATCTTTAACTCTAGATAGTATTTAAATTGTACTTTCCAAGCTTGATTAGCTGGGCAACATGTGATTAACACTGTCCAGTTACTAGACATGACTTATGCAACTTACTATGTAATGATACTTGAGCTGATCAGAAATATACAGCTAGGTAATTCATAAAAATTGGAGGCTTGGAATTTGGAAATTTAGTAATCAAAGGTAATTTGTGCATAGTGTTAACATTTAATTGAAAGGTGCCCATGACGTCCCTTGCATTGTGGTTAATGTCATACTTGCTGCAATTTTAATGCATAATGTAAGTTAATGCATTCTCTAAATAGCAATATTATCACCCACAGGTTCCATATTTCAAGCTCCACCAGAGACCCCCAAGCATACACTCATGCTTTATCTGATGCTCGTTGTGTCTTTGATATGGCAGTAAGTGATTTTCTTGGGATTCCTTCAGTGCAGTGAAAGTTAGAGGTTAGCCATGATTGGAGTTCTCTCGTTCAGCCCCGTGGGCTGAATGCGTGAACATCAGTGATTTCTCCATCTTAGGCAGCCGTAATTACCTGAATACCCAAATAGTGACTGCGTCTGAAAGGAGGCAGTCACTTGTCGGCTGATAATTTGAGCCGGGTGGTGTGGACAGGGCTTGAATTTTGGCAGTCAGCAGGAAATTTGTGCCATGTTATGGCTACCCTAGTCTGGCAGTCTGAATTTGCATGTCAAGTGCAGGATCCCTCTTCATGTCCGTTTTGGGGGCTGTACATTGGGAGGCATGCGCACTATAATAGGACTAGTTGAGCAAGAATCTGCCTTGTGCTGATGTAGTTGTCATTGGCTGTGGACCTGATTGTATTCCGTTTAACAGCCCTGGAAGCATTTTGAGGCAGATACATGCATCGCCCTAATTTATACAGTTGACCTGGGATTCCTGTCCACTCCTGGGCAATGTGGGTACATTAGGAGATCCGCTGCATCCATGAACACTATATACTGTATGTAGGTTACTGGGAATCGGCAGGCTCTTACACCAACAGTCTGTAGTAGGGCACATCTTATGCTAACATGAGATTGTTTTCTGCACTGCATCTTGGGGAAACCAGTCATGATCAGGCTTTAAATAGCGTTTTGTGGCATTCGATGTAAATATGAAAGTTATACAGCTCAGAAATTTTAATTTTACAATTGGTAGAGAAAAATAATTTTTTTTTTTTTTTCTAGGCTGAATTTGGCTTTAAGATGAATTTACTGAACATTGGAGGATTATCAGGGAATGAGTTTCAGTTGGAAGAGGTGAGTTGTGTAAGATGTAGAGGTCGAGCTTCTTATCTTTGGGTTGGGTGTAGTCTAGTATGAGCTAAGTGTCTGGAAACCTCTTGTCTTGCAGCTTTTTCATGCTGTCAGTCCTCTGCTGAGTGCATACTTTCCTGAGGAATCTGGGATCGGAGTTATTGCCGAGCCTGGAAGTTATTACGTGTCATCTGCGTTTACCCTGGCTGTAAACATCATTGCAAAGAAAGTAGAGAATGAGCAGCATCTTTCTGGAGGTACGTTCTCACCTGTGACCACCATCTGTAATAACCAGACCCTGTCACTACAAGGAAACCGTTTTATCTATGAATAGCACAAAAGTGATTAAACGGAACTCCCAATATTTAACTTTGGGTTCCTTTTCCCCCAGTAGTACACTCCCATAGTACTTAGTTCCATGGCTATCTGCATATTTCTTTGCCTGGCAGTGTGGTCCTTTTGGGTGCAGAGAGCCCAAATTACCAGTTTCCTCTGAGCCCAGCCTGTCAAGACACCCCCCTGGGTGGTACTCCTATGTAGTACGTGCCAGGAGCAGCGCTGCATCTCTCCTATAAGAAAATTCACCTTCCTGTCTGTGATTTCCCAAACGTGAATGTGAAAGATGGCCAAAAACTGGCACACAAGATGCAGGCAGGGGCAGGACCATTGGAGGAAAGGAGTATAGGAACCCTTTAGTTCTGCCTTTACATTGTGTTACATTACTGACAATTCTGTACAGAGCCCAAAATATTCTTGTTTTTTCTATTTTCTACACTTGTTTTTTGAAATGCTTTCATCTAACCTGCCAGTATCTCGTATACTATTCCAAAATGATTGAGAGTGGTTGGAAGTGCTGTTTGTGTTCAGATGACCTGCCTGAACTCCTATAGAAAATGTACAGAGCCTAATGATACAGCATTGGTTAAGTTCAGTTGCTTGATTTCATTTAAAGCCTAAGTTATAATCAGCACAAAGAATGTTACTTGCTTTCAGTGAGATGTGTCCCTTGTGTTGCTCTTTCCTTTTGCAGAAATCATCCTCCAATGTTAGAACTAAGGGAGCTGTCACAGGCACTCATCGAGTACCCAACTATGCCTTACCTTTCCACCCAGTTTTTCCATTCATAGACGTTGGTACTACTATTCATACAGTGTTTCAATCATACAAGCTGTAGTATGGTAGTAAGGACCTGGGTGGAAGAAACAGCCATAGCCAGGTACTCCTGATGAATGCTGTCACAGATCCTAGAGTTCTAGTATTCCCTGTTGTGTGGGTGGAGGGGGGGGGGCATTGGAGGAAGATATTTTCCAAGGGACACATCTTACTGAAGGTAATGTCCTTTGTGTTCTGTAAGCCAAGGCCTAATTGTAAATGGTCAAGATTGTTAGCTGTTCCCTGATTCTTTTGCCAAGCGTCTCAGTAGTATGTTCCCAGTATCTAGTGGGTTTGTTGTGAACGCACAGGTACAAGCATCTGTACACGCATATCCTAGCAGCTCCTATGAAGAGAGATGAAAATGACTTCACACAGCCTTTTTCATGAGGAAACCTGTTCCCTAATGGACAACTGCAGGATTACCCCTTCCTGAAAATAGATATGCTCTGTGCAGGGACACTCATTAGAATTAAACTCGGCTGCTGCATGCCATCTGAAACTCCTGGAGTGAACACTGGAGACATCATTAACTTGGTGAATGCGTACTGCTGGTAATCATTTCCCTTCTCTCCAACTTGCAGAGAAAGGGAAATCCATTTCTTGGAGCTGCCATGCCTATACACAAGGTTGAAGAAATCCCCAGTGTTGACTCTAGGGGTTATTCTTTAAGTGCTAAACAAAAAACAAAAACCACCATAGCAGCTGATGGTAGTGGGATGGCTGCTGTTCTCTGCAGCGCACACATCTATTCTCTCAGCTGGGGTCAGCTGTTGCTCTGGTATCAAGATATGGAGAACTGGGAAGGCTTTTTATCTGAACACATCCTTCTGTAGCAATAAGTGTGATAGCTTGTCATTACTGCTGTTCTTGCTGCTATGTCTAGGGGTTACTGAGGTTTGGAAAGGGTGATGAGATGCAAGCTATTGAAAAGCAATCTTCAATACATTTGAAATGCTGAATTCTTTGCTGAAGACTTAACACAAATTTCTATACTGTTTTTCTTTCAGGAAAGTACACCAGTACCAAGCCAGCTTTTATTTATTGCTTGAATGATGGAGTTTATGGATCTTTTTCACGTAAATTATCAGAGAGCTTAAATACTGCTCCAGTGGTGCACAAGGTAAGCAGCTGTGTCTGGCCTAGCTCAGTAGCTTTGGTTTGTAAATCTTAGTCTGAAAATATCTTGCAGCAAGTCTTTACAAAGGTTTCAAGCCCTTAAACTACATTTTTATCTCCAGTCTGGTATTGGGTGTAACCGTAAAGCTGAACGCCAAGCAAACTGAAAAATACAGATGAAATGCACATATGGCCGGTTGACTAGAGAGATTACAATTTTACTGTTGCCAAAAGTACACCTAATAGAAATATGAGCGCTGCCAGGCTTGCAGTCTGAAAATGCTGGTTGCCTGGCTGTTTTGGCTTCAGTGCTTCCTAGACAGACATGAACCAAAAATGTCAAAATTCCTCATCTCTTGTGCTTTTATAGGTCAATGATTTCAGAAAGTACTGAAACCAAAGTATCAGCGTGTTAAGTAAGCAACATTTTCCAGAAGATTGGTTAGAAATGGGAGCCTTCCTTTTTTGTCAAGTCATATGTACTTTTTTCTGTGGGTGCGGGGGGGTGGGGGGGGGGGGGGGGGGGAGAGGGGGGGGTGGGGGGGGGGCGGGGGGGGGGGGGGGGGAAGGTAAGCAGCTACAAATCTGTAGTTGCGTACTTTAAAAAAAAAAAAAAACAGCAGCTGACCTGTCTCTCGATCCATCGTGATTGTGCTTTCCCCAGCCAAGTTCACTGGTCATCCTCAGTGCTGGCTACTTAACTATGGGCACCCTGCTGTGACCGCTTGCAGACTTCACAGCCAGGTGCCCACTGTGCATGCATGATGAGCTGTGCCGCACATTGGTCCCAGTCTTCTGAGACCTGTCATGTCCCAGGAGACTGGGAGGTCGGGGAAGCTTCCGATCGCGTAGGTGGAGCAGAAGTGGGAGCGGGTACCTGTCAAAATCAGGTACTCCCCAAAGGTGTCAATGGGGAGCAAGGGACCAGTCTTTAGAGGAACCTCTCCTCTTTTGGGTGGAGTTCCACTTTAATTGAAGCTAGGTAATTTCCCAGCTTGTGATTGGATTGTGAAAGAGCAGAATTGGTTCACCCCTGCACTCTGTCCTCCTGTCAGCACATATTGAATACCTGATGGTTCCTAGGGCTAGGGCTTCCCCCTCTTCCTTCCTAGTCTGCAATAACGAAGATTATAAGAGGTTGATACAAAGTCAAATTGCATTAGAGAATTACATTGGTATATATTGAATCTGAAGTTCTGCTGTAACAGTGAGCAGGCAGGCTCTTTTTGCAGATAAATGTCTCTTCTGCATTTAAGTGACCCTACCTGCTTGCTCGCTGTGCTCCCGCATTGAACACGAGCAGCGCATGCAAGGGAGCATTGGAAAGGAGCATTAACACTTTAGTTCTCCTTTAAACAGGATACTTGGTCTAAAAAAATTTGCAGCTAAAAATACTGTAGCTGTTGACGGTTAATAAAACACACCAGTACAGGGATTCAGCACTGTCCTCCGGCAGAATTGTAAATTTGCAGCCAAGGAAACACTAGAGGAATTTACTAAAACTGGAGCTGAAAAAATCTGGAGCTGCTGTGCAATAATCAGGTTCTAGCTTCAGATTGTTCAATTATGTGTTGAGAATGAAAGCTAGAGCCTGATTGGCTGCCATGCATAGCTGCTCCAGAGTCTGTTCCAGTCAAAGTAGTACACGATTTCTGGCATATAAACAAGTATACCCTGCTATACAACATACCCAAAAGTGACAGGGTCACTTCAAAGCTACAGATATCATTCAGATCTTTAAAAATTCTGACAAGCTGAAGTATGCTTAATGCTGAAGTTTAGTGTTTTAAATCTGTACCAGGGATGATCACCTAAATGACACATGCTGGTGGCACCTCGTTTCCTTGAAAATGTTTTTCCAATGGATAACCTGCAGCTGTTATCTTCTGGAGCTGTGGGGTAAATATGAGCGGCTTCACCTGTCACAGGCACTCTTCAGAAGTGCTCACTATGCCTACCCTTTCCACCCCCTTCGCCATTCATAGCTGTACTATCAGTTCTACAAGGAAAGTGCTCTATGAAAGGATGGGAGAATTAATAAAAGGTCCATGTCTTTTCATAGAGCGCTTTTCATTGCGGGAAATACAGCTTCTGTGGAGGGGGGGGGGGGGGGGGGGGGGGGGGGCGGAAAGAGCAGGCATAGTCTGCAATTTTGATTGTGAAGCCACTCGTAGCAACCCTGCCAGCACAAGATTACAGCTGCAGGGGGTTTCCAGGGGGCATTGGTTGGAAGCTTTCAACTAGCACACGGGGACACTCATCACTCAAGCACATTCAATGGTGCTGGTTTCAAAACAATATTCACTAAACTCCAGCTTTAAAACCATTATTGAATCTTAAATACTTGCCTTGCTAATACTTGTGAAGCAAGTCTTATGGGCTGTCCTGTTGCAGTTTTTAGTAGCATCATCCTGTCATGTAGAAGTGGCACTGATGACTTTTGTTTTTTGTATTTTAGAAATACAACGAAGATGAGCAGCTTTTTGCTAGCACCCTTCTGGGTCCATCTTATGACGAGTTAGATATAATTGTGGACCACTGTCTTCTGCCAGAACTGAATGTTGGAGACTGGCTTGTGTTTGAGAACATGGGCTCTGGTACAGTGAGCGAACAGTCTGCATTTGCAGATTTTGAACGACCGTCCCTGTATAACTTCATGTCATTCAGTGACTGGTAAGTTTGTTCGGACTCTTCTGCTTTTGGTTTACATGGTTACAGATCAGTTTATACATTACACAGAAAAGTTATCGGTACACATGACTTTGTAGTATATTTAGACCTCTCTTCCGTGTGCCCTTCTTTCCAATTAATATCTAGAAGAAACGAGCGAGTGTAGTGGAGCAGCTAGCAAAAAAAAGGTAAAACCTCTTAGGATAACATATATGTATAAAACATGCAGCGCTCCTATCAATGATATAAAACAGATACAAATGAAGACATATGTATATTACTCCAAAATGACAGGCTTATATGTGTGCAAGATTGTGTATAACGCACACAACTATGAATCACCGTGCATAGATAAGTTCATGAATTCATTTCCAAAATTGAAACGTGAAGATGGGTGACAGTCTATATGTAGCCAACGAACAATATTCGTGACATCAGTGGTGCGGAAATGATAATAGTTTGTCCTTGGGCCCCTTCTCTTCTCCATCTACACCTCCTCCCTTGGCCAACTCATACACTCTCACGGCTTCAACTACCACCTCTATGCCGACGACACACAATCTATCTCTCAACCCCCCACCTCACCCCTTCGGTCTCTGCCCAAATCACACACCTACTGAGCGACATATCAGATTGGATGTCGCTCCACTTCCTTAAACTGAATCTCTCCAAAACGAGCTCCTTGTCTTCCCCCCAGCCCGAACCCACCCCCCATTGACTTCTACATCACATCCAACAACGTCAATATCAAACCCGCTCTGCAGGCCAGAGTACTTGGTGTCATTCTGGACTCCAACCTATCCTTCCAGCCCCAAGTCCAATCTTTAACAAACTCGTGCAGACTCCACCTCCGCAACATCGCCAAAATCCGCACGTTCCTAACCCCCAGAAACCACTAAACAGCTCATCCACTCCCTCATCATATCACGACTCGACTACTGCAACTCCCTCCTCACTGGCCTGCCTCGCCGCTGGCTATCCCCGCTTCAGTTGATCCTGAATACGGCTGCCAGACTCATTCACCTTTCCAACCGCTCCGTTTCCGCCACCCCCCTGCCAATCCCTCCACTGGCTTCCGATTGCGCAACGGATCAAATTTAAAATCCTAACACTGACGTACAAAGCTGTCCACCATACTGCCCCGAACTACATCACTGACCTAATATCCAAGTACCGCCCAGCACGCACACTCCGCTCCTCACAAGACCTCCTTCTCTCTAGTTCCCTGGTCTCCTCCTCCCATGCCCGCCTCCAGGACTTCTCCAGGGTGTCACCCATCCTCTGGAACTCCCTGCCCCAACCCATCAGATTATCACCTACTCTCCTCTCCTTTAGGCGCACCCTGAAAACCCATCTCTTCAGGGAAGCCTACCTCACCCCTTGCTAACTTGCTGACCTCCTCCACTCTTCCTACCACTCCATCCCCCACAGCTATCTCCTCCTGTACCACTATCCCACCCCTTCTAGATTGTAAGCTCGAAAGAGCAGGGCCCTCGATCCCCTCATGTTTTGCATTGTATTGGTATTGTTCTGTCACATGTTCTGTCCCCCTTTGTAATGTACAGCGCTGAGTGAACTATTGGCGCTTTATAAATACTGTATAATAATAATAATAATAATAATAATAATAGTTTGCACTAACCAGATAGCGCTATATAAAACGCATGTAGATGATGAGATCATCTAGGTGTGAGCATCTGGACCCAGGTGTTCTGACTAGTGGCAGCATCTATCACAGCATTTCAATGGTTTCCAAATAGCAGAGCTCTGATTGTAGACCACCAGAGGGAGCCAGCAACCAGGATCTCTTCAGACCAGGTATCCCAAAGAGTATGATGTGTTCACCGACCACCAGAGGGAGATAGAGCTATGATATGCAAAAGGCCTGTTGGCCAGACAGAAGAGGTCCACGTGGATAGAAAGTCACTGAGGGCAGCTTTCTGACATGTTTCGTGCCATGCAAGTTCTCAAAGAAAGCTGGCCCCCTCAGTGATTGCTCAAGCATATATATGGGAACACATTCCCTTCAATTCATAATTGCGTTCGCGCGCATGCGCAGATGGCGCTTGCCCGTTCGCGCATGTGCAGTTCGCGGTGGCCATTTTGTTGAAGCTCAATGTATATAGTGGCTTCTTATTGAAGACATAGGAAGTAATCAGAAGGAGTGTATGGATAGTCACTCTACTTCTGCTTCTCTCCCATACTGAAAATGTTACATTGGAGTGCCATTAAGCTTTACAATATACAGATTTTGGGACAAAAGACGGTATACAAATCCTGAAATGAGTGATTAAGAAAATATGGGCTTATAACAGGGATCTTGTTATGAATAATCTCCTGTTTGTTCGATATAAGGATCTATTTGTTTAGCAATCCTGTAGAACTACAGGTGCCAGAATAGTCTTCCCAGACATGTGTATACCCCTACATATAATCAATATTAAACACCACAATAATATAAAACTTGTTAAACAATTGCTGGTGATTCTTGGCCCTGAAAATGAGTTGCTGTGTACTAAAGCAGCTTTTGGTAAACCTTTTGTGTTCATCAATATTTAGACAGAGAGATACCAAGTAACATTGTTACCTTTGCATGTGTTCATCTGCAGATCATAGTTGTGAACTTTGATCTGCAGAGGGTGTCAGTAAAGGCAACCTGACAAGTAAATGTTTTCTTTATAAAATGTGCCTAACCCCCGTAATATCCCTTAGTAAAAGGGTAAAGATGTCCCTAAGGTAAAGATGTTTAAGTATCTGTCTCCCTTCAACAATTTTTTTTTCCTGGATTTTTTTTTTCCTTTCCATTAATATTTAAACTTTATTTTTATTACATTTTGTCAACTATTCAGTTTGTAAATAACTTTACTATGATTTGAACCAGAATAAAAATGTTAGTATTTTGAACAGGACAAAGAATAAAATGTATACTTTTCTACAGTAAACACTATACACTGGTCAGTGTTTTTAGTTTTAAGGACTGCAAAAAAGATTTACTTCAACACAATACCACAAAATATTCTGGTCTGTCTTTAGGTATTCCTTAGTGTAAGTAAAGGCTAACTAGAACTATTTTTAAGTTCCCTCCCCACCTATCCTGCATACCTTGTATAAAAATCTGTGTACCTATCTCTTTATCCTGGTTATTTGATTAGCAACAATGGTTCCCCTGTGTAAGGGAGCACTTGGATCAGGGCTGTGAATTTCCAGAGCACTGGTGTTGCCTATAGGCTCCCATGGCCCATCTGACACTTCCTCTACCCTGCAGCAGCCACTGACTGACACAGGGGAGCCAGAGCTGCTGGATCATGTGACCAGACTGGATTAAACAAAAGTACACATCACTTGTTCCAGGTAAAAATGCACTTCAAATGTTACTATGAGTTTGCGAGGCCCAGAATGCAGGGATGATTTGTTTCAAAATGAAGTTCCTCTGCGTTGTAAATTGCCATTTAATTTTTAGTGCAAATGGTGCTAAAATGGTACCTCCTACACAAATGGGTGATGGGCAGCACTAAAGCAAAAAATAAATCGTGCTTGGAGAACATATAAAGCAGCTGACACATCAACGCAAATTGATAAATATAAACAAAAGTGCAGCACTAATAAAATTAGTGAGTAAAAATAGTGACAGTCCCGAAATGGTGAACTGAGTTTTTCAATTATGCTTCATATAGCGCTCCACCAGCAATGAGAGCATTGTGATCCACCATGTGCCACACAGATACGTTTACTGGAGCACATTTACTCTTAGTTAAGAGTCTAAATGCACTTTCTTTCCAAATGATCACTACCTGATATTGTGCACTTAATCCCAAAAGTGGATATCATGTAGCAGCTAAAACCTCAGATTTGTATCTCTCAAGCAAAGCATAAAAGGGCCAGAGAGGCCACATAGTGTAGGACCATAATATAGTGCCTTTTTAAAAAAGGTGAAACCCAATGATAAATTGCATGTGCACTAAATAGAATCCACCTGGTTTCAGTAGTCACAGGCCATTTCCGGGCATCGATGTACGCGATGACGTCATGAGCATTGGCTCCATCCGTGACATGCAGCACTGTCTTTTACATGCTAAGGTTATAAAAAACGACTTGATGGGAGAGATTCCTCCATGGAATCTGCAGATGAAAAGGCTGAGGTTGCTTGTTCTTGATCTAAACATTTGCATCAGTTAGCAAAGATGTGAATGTGATGGAAAAGCAGTTCAGTCTCCCATACTGTAACATAAACTGTTTAATATGAAGTCTGAGTAAAGGGCCTGTGTTGATAGGCTTTGGGCTTCTCTTCTGAGGAGCATTCAGAATTTAACAGATAAATTTGGTTTTTGAATAGATTTTGCATTCCCATAGACTTGTATGGGAAAGCAAAACCAGCTTTTGAAGAGGAACAGAAGCCTGTGAACGCTCTGCTTGAAATTTGACTTTTGACTGCCCTGGTCTGATTATAGCTGTACGTTCATATTCACAATTACTTTCACAATCCGATTGTTTGAATTGTTTTTCTTAATCACTTATTTGGTTGTCTCCCCTAGGTATGAGATTCAAGATGCTGGGCTTACATCAGACACCTTGATGAGAAGCCTCTGTGTGCCTTGTTTTCAGTTTGGTGACGACAGTTTCTCCACTGTAGCTTAGTCATAAAACTTCAAATAAAATCTCTACAGGTACAAGTCTTCAGCTTGCCTGGTCAACATTCCAGACTGGAAGAACCGGTGTTCACCTCATTTCAAAACTTGAAGTTCAGTGTGTAGAAATAAAATGGGACCAGGCAAAAGCAGCTAGAAGTAATCCACTGGGGCGAGAATTAGATATGTCTGCATTTTCTGTGTGCCAGCTTTCTCCATCCCCTGCACAGTTTCAAGTCCAATATGCAACAAAATGGATGACTTAGTTGAGATGGAAACCATTACCTGGGTTCCTTGTAAGAGTTTACATAAGTACACAGTTTTTATACTAAGGATTCCTGTTAGTCTTGTAAATTTATTGTCTCCTCCAGTATAACATGTCTTTGAAAGACCAGTGTGTAACTTAGATATATATGTCTAGTGTGTGTGTAGATTGTGTAAATTTGTGCTTCGACCAGTAGTTTAATAAATGTAAATTGCATCATATTTTTATTTTTCCTTATTTGTCCCCAGACTGATCGTAACATGATTGCAATAAACTTTTGTGTAGAACCTATGGCTTTATTTCTACATTTGTTTCAAATGGGGGCTGTTGATTAGGCTGCGTGGTGTATGTATTTTTTATTTATTTTTTTCCCAAATTCTTCATTTATATGGACTTCACCATACTCACAGAACAGTGTAAAGCATTGCCAATATAAAAGTCAAAAGTAAAGGGGTAACATCCCCCGTATACAAAGATCTTGACATAATAGCCATTCAGGGATAAGGCATAAAGAGAGTAATCAACAGGTTAGACCATATACTCTATGCCGTAAATGAAAGGTTAACTGGAGGTGTACTGCGACGAGGAATACTCCCTGCCCCTATGAACATTGGGATCCGTCCTTTTATTTATATATATATATATATATATATACACAGTGGGGATCGAAAGTTTGGGCACCCCAGCTAAAAATTTGTATTAATGTGCATAAAGAAGCCAAGGAAAGATGGAAAAATCTCCAAAAGGCATCAAATTGCAGATTAGACATTCTTATATGTCAACAAAAGTTAGATTTTATCTCCATCATTTACACTTTCAAAATAACAGAAAACAAAAAAATGGCGTCTGCAAAAGTTTTGGCACCCTGCAGAGTTATTATCTTGTACTGCCCCTTTGGCAAGTATCACAGCTTGTAAACGCTTTTTGTAGCCAGCCAAGAGTCTTTCAATTCTTGTTTGAGGTATCTTTGCCCATTCTTCCTTACAAAAGTCTTCCAGTTCTTTGAGATTTCTGGGCTGTCTGTCACGCACTGCTCTTTTAAGGCCTATCCATAGATTTTCAATTATGTTGAGGTCAGGAGATTGTGAAGGCCATGGCAAAACCTTCAGTTTACGCCTCTTGATGTAATCCCCCGTGGATTTCGAGGTGTGTTTAGGATCATTATCCATTTGTAGAAGCCATCCTCTTTAACTTCAGCTTTTTCACAGATGGCATCAAGTTACCATCCAAAATTTGCTGAAATTTTATTGAATCCATTTTTCCTTCTACGCGTGTGATGTTCCCTGTGCCACTGGCTGCAACACAACCCCAAAGCATGATTGATCCAACCCCATGCTTAACAGTTGGACAGAGGTTCTTTTCATTAAATTCTGTGCCCCTTCTTCTCCAAACGTACCTTTCCTCATTCCGGCCAAAAAGTTCAATTGTAACCTCATCGGTCCACAGAACTTGTTTCCAAAATGCATCAGGCTTGTCTATATGTTCATTTGCAAAGTTCAAACGATGATTTTTGGGGTGAGGACGTAGAAGAGGTTTTCTTCTGATGACTCTTCCATATTTGGAAGACCATATTTGTACAAGTATCTCTTTATAGTGGAATAGTGTACCACAACTCCATTGTCTGCCAGATCTTTCTGGAGGGATCGTGCAGTCAAATGTGGGTTTTGAATTGTTTTTCTCACAATCCTGCGAGCTGTTCTGTCTGATATTTTTCTTGGTCTTCCAGATCTTGCTTTAACTTCCACTGTTCCTGATGACTGCCATTTCTTAATTACATTCCGAACAGAGGATATTGACATCTGAAAATGCTTTGCTATCTTCTTATAGCCTTCTCCAGCTTTGTGAGCGTCAACTATTTTCAGTTTCAGTTTTCTAGACAACTGCTTAGAAGAACCCATGGTGCTGATTGTTGGGGCAAGGTCAGATGAGTCTGGGCATTTAAAACCTTTGAGACTGACATCACCTGGTCTTCCCAGACGATGATTGAGAACAATCCATGACACTGGCAGGTCTCAGCTTGGCAAAGGGGGCAGTGCATGCTATAAATTCTGCAGGGTGCCCAAACTTTTGCAGATGCCATTTTTTTGTTTTCTGTTATTTTGAAAGTGTAAATGATGGAAATAAAATCTAACTTTTGTTGACATATAAGAATGTCTAATCTGTAATTTGATGCCTTTTGGAGATTTTTCCATCTTTCCTTGGCTTCTTTATGCACATTAATACAAATTTTTAGCTGGGTTGCCCAAACTTTCGATCCCCACTGTATATATATATATATATATTATATATATATATATATATATATATATATATCAGTATGGAAGGGAAAACAAATAGCATGAAGAAAGAAGAAAAAAGGGGGGGGGGGTAAGAAAAGGGGAGTGGTTGCCAGAGGAGGAAAGGAAGCTCTGTCTCCAAGGGAGAGAGAATTCAGTCAGGAGCGGAGGGTACAAAGGATTTCCCCTTGTCAAAGAAAAGAAACATTCCAGAGAATCCTGGGCTTTGAATAGTCTCATCTATTTTGTGACGACAGAATCAGATCTTCCATTTTGTTGACGTCTTCTACTCTAGACAACCAGAGCGAGATAGGACGATGGTCTCTCCATCTCAAGGCAATGCAGGATCTGGTGCAGTTAAATAGGGGTGTAAAATCGATTTGCCGTACGCTTTTCCAGGAATGTCCGAGACTTGTAGAAGAAAAAGACCTGGGTCTTCAGGAAGGACATAATTTGTAAATTTCTGAGATACGATGTATCTCCTTCCAGAAAAGTTCCAGTTTCAGACATGTCCAGAAAATATGCAGTAGAGAGAACCCCCCCCGTCTCCCTGACATCTCCAACAGCCGTCTGTGAGTGTAGGACAGCATTTATTAAGTACCGACTGAGTGCAGTACCATCTGGTGAGAATTTTGAATTGTTTCCTGTATACGCATACAGATAGAAAATTTACAAACAAGTGGATGATTCGCCTTTGTTGGGCAGAAGAGAAAGATCTATTCAATGTCATTCCCATTTCTGTAGGAAAGGGGGGGAATAATCCTCCGTCGGAGCTATCAGTTGCATGTACATTTGAGAGAGGGAGTGTGGCAGGGGAACCTCTTCCACACAGAATTGTTCAAAAGCGGTCAGTCGATGGTGGAATCTCTCAGGAGGAGGTAGTGCCATCAAAAAATGTAGTTGGAGAGCACTCCAAAAGTTCAAGCGGAAACGGCCTGTTTCAGAAGTAAGCATCGCAAGGGACGGCCAATGTGCAGAGTTCAGAAAATGGGACACCTGGTAGAATGAGGAGCACAATAAGGCATAGAGTGATCCGCCCGGCATAGCTGGTGAAAAACGCAGGTTCCCCAGGATCTGAAAAAGAGAACAAGCCGAGGATAGGGAAGTGTAACGGCATACTCTGTAACCAATAAGCAAGGTAGTCCCCAAGATCGGGTGTTTCTTAATATTTATTTCAGGTACTTGTATAGCGCCATCAATTTACGCAGCGCTTTACATATATATTGTACATTCACATCAGTCCGTAACCCTCAATATTAGAAGGAAGTTCTCGAACACCACACCGCTTGGTGTAAAAGGATGACACATTGCATTGAGCTTGTTCAATCCGGGGCCACAGCTTAATGTCAGTATGTCTACAGTCTCAGGCATCCGAAATGATTCACCTGGTAATATTTGTATAGATCCGGGACCGCGAGACCCCTGTGTTTAGGGAGAGTAAGCAACCGTCTCTACAATCTGGGTCGTTTGTGAGCCTAAATGAACTCAATAAACAGGGCAGTGGCCTGTCAAAAGAATTCCCTTGGTATATGAATCAGCAAAGCTTGGAAAAGAAGTGAATTTTGGCAGAATAGATATTTTAATAATATTGCATCTTCAGAACCATGAGAATAGGCCTTGGTGCCACGTGGACAGCTGAGTACGAACTTTACTGAGTAGGGGGAATGTAGGTAGCAAGATAACTGAGCGCTGAAGTTGTCCATTTGAAATTAAAAGTATTTTGTAAAATTGCCAGGTGGTTATGGGGCAAAGACACCCCCATCGCCTCTGATTTGGATACGTTAATTTCCAGGTTGGAAAAAGCACCATAGGCCTTCAGTTCCTCGAGGCGATTAGGAACAGAGATGGTCGGGTTGGTCAGCAAAAAAGCATGTCATCCGCATATGCAGAAACTTTATATTGGGAATCCCCCATCTGGACTCCGTTAATATCTGGATTACCTCTAATCTTGCAGAGAAATGGTTCCAGGGAGAGGGCAAAGAGGAGAGGTGATAAAGGGCAGCCCTGGCGAGTACCATTCGAGATGGAAAAGGGCTCCAAAAGGAAGCCATTCGCCTTTACTTGAGCTGTCGGCACTGAGTAAAAGGAGATCCATTTGAGCATCTTCTCATCCAGCCCCACATGGCGCAGCACCATAAACATGAAAGGCCAAGCCACCCGATCAAATGCCTTTTCCGCGTCTGTACTCAAGAACACAGCAGGAATTTTAGGCTCGACAGGTGCACTAGGTTAAGAACTTTGGTATTGTCACGAGCTTCTCTGGTGGGTATGAAACCCACTTGGTCAAGGTGTACCAGATCTGGTAGGTGTGGTTGGATTCAGGTGGCCAAGACCTTCGTAAAGATTTTCAGATCCATATTCAAAAAAGAGATTGGGCGGTAACTGCCACAGGAGGAAGGGTCTTTTCCCTCCTTGGGGATGACTGAAATATGAGTGTGTAGTGAGTCAATAGGAAAAAGGTCACCTTAT